CCTTCTTCAGAGTTTTCCCTTACTTTTTGTAGATCTGAGTTTCTGACCTATATTTCTTTCTCTCTAAAGAATTTTTTTTAAACGTTTCTTGCAAGGTAGGTCCACTGGCAACAAATTCCTTCACTTTTCGTTTGTCTGAAAAAGTCTATTTCTCATTTGCTTTTGAAGGATAATTTTGCAAGGTACAGAATTCTAAGGTGACATTTTCTCTCAAAACTAAAAAATTTTCACTTTCTCTTCTTCCTTGCGTGATATCCAAGGAGAAATTGGATGTGATTCTTATTTTGTTTCTCTATTGGTAAGGTTTCTTCTCTTACAGTTTCCTTCCAGAATTTTACTTTTCTTCTCTTCTACATTATGAAAATGATATGTCTAGGAGTAGTTTTAAAACATTTTTTTTTAGTATTTTTCCTGGTTGGTGTTCTTTGAGTTTCCTGGATCTGTGATTTGGCGTCTGACATTAACTTGGGGAAATTCTCAGTCATTTCAAATAATTCTGCCCCTTTCTTTCTTCTCCTTCTGGTGTTTTCATTATGTGTATGTTACACCTTTTGTAATTATTCCACAATCCTTGGATACTTTGTTCTGTTTTTCTTCAGTCTTTGTTCTCTGTGTTTTTTCATTTTTGAGGATTCTATTGATACATATTTTAACTCAGAGATTCTTTTCTCAGCCATGTCTAGTCTACTAATAATCTTATCAGAGGCATTCTTCATTTTTGTTACAGTGTGTTTGATCGCTAGCATTTCTTTTTGAGACTTTATTAGGAATTCCATCTCTCTGGTTACCTTGTCCATCTGTACTTGCATGCTGTCTACTTTATCCCTTAAATCCTTTAGCACGTTACTCATAGTAGCTTTAAATTCCCAGTCTGGTAATTTCAACATCTCTGCTATGGCTGGTTCTGATGCTTGCTCTGCCTCTTCAGATTGTGTTTTTGCCTTTTGGTATACCTTGTAAAGATTTACCTTGTAATTTTTTCTTGCTAGCCAGACATGACGTACTAGGTAAAAGGAACTGCAGTAAATAGGGCTTTGGTGAGAGGGGTGGGGGAGAGGGGAAGTGTTCTCTAGTCCTGTGCTTATGAAACAGGAAGTAAGTGGACAGGGCACAGCCATTCAAAGAATGAGACAGCAGTTAACACCAAAATGGTAGAAGATTCAACTCCCAGTAGGCCTGGAGGCTCAAGATGCTGGGAGATTTGACTTCCAATAGAACTTGAGCTTCATTATATGCTCATTGTAATATATTAGCATGGTAAATAACATGCCCACAGGTGCCATGACAGTTCCAAGCCTAACCATAAAAAGTCAAAGAGTGGGCAGTGGCCCAGTTCCTGGGAATCCCAGCCCCTACCCCAGGGTAGTTGCCATGGTCCTCCCACTTGTTGGCATGTGAAGATACCAAGCCCATAAAAACTGACATCACCACACCTCATGGCCTCTCTCACTCCCCGGAACTCTGTCAATGGAGTGTGTATCTACTTTTTCTTTAACTGAGCACCCAACCCCCACACCTCATGGCCTTTCTCTTGCCTTCTGAAACAGCTTACACTCTATGCAGTATGTAAATCTACCTTT